AAAGTACACTGGAGACCTTGAGAAAACATTGACACAATGCCACAAAAATACCAAAGTGTTACTAAAACGATAGGTAGCTACACCAAATACTAGCATTAAAGAAATTTACACATTATTTGTGTACTAATTTTTTAAGTTTCCTGTAAGATTAATTTCTAACAATTGCAAATCCATTTCTGTAGCAGCAAAGCTATATATTTTGTGTAAAGCTCAAAATGACTATTTGCCTCTCTCTCACACACGATATTTATCCAGTTTTGCCTGTTTGCTATTAAAAACAAACAAGTATTTTATTTATACATAAAATTCTGACAGAAAAAAATGTAACGAATAAATCAAAATAATACTTAGTTACAATTATCAGATATTTCTGCACACATACAATACGACTGTAGCAAATGCGTTTGCTTCCAAATGATTAACTCGACGACTGAAATGTCAGTTCTGAATACATGCGTCGCTTCAACTTAAACTCTTAAACTTCTATTTTTGTCATCTCCACGAGACAACATCACAACAATAAGATAGTCTTTTTATTTAAGACTTATCATTAACAAAGACAGAGAAGTTCGTTCCCATTGTTTGCATATATATTTGTTTGTTTAAAAAAATATAACTTATAAATACAGAAATGGAGTATATTTTTGCATTGAATTCTAGTAAATTTAAATTTGAGTATAGTTATTTCATTATTTATAAACTATCAAACAAATCATTGAAAACCCTGATTAAATCTTTTAGGTCTACAATGTAGTAAAGTCGTATGTAAAAATAAAACTGTCAGTTTTTGAAGAATTTAAATTATTTAAACATTCCAAAACTGGAATGTTATATTTAATAATTCAAAAATAATTATTCTGGTTATTTGAAGACTGTACTTATATTTCTTTTTAAAACAAGACATCTAGAACATTGTTAAGCACTATGGAAACATATTTAATGACTGTATTTAAAGAATTAGTAATAAATCTGAATTTCAGAGGATTTTTATGCAATTTTGGAATTGCATATAAAAATGGTAAATACGTACAAGAATAACATGTATAGATATTTCATTCTTAATAGCCTTCTTTAAATTTCTAATAACATTTTTCTTTAAAGTACTTTTAGTAAAAGTACTTGTGTTATTAATTTCATTAAGTAAAATTTGCGCTAATAATATTTTACACACAAAACCAAAATTACAACCAGCTTTATCAATCGGGGTAATAACGAATTGTTTATGAATTTATTTTTGTTTTTTATTTATTCTATTTGTTTAATTAGTAGAAATATTAGGATGGCTTCATTTTATTTCATTTCTTCTTTAAGAAATTTAAGGGTAACTGCCTTCCCATAACTGGCTATAGACGGTGAAAAGCAGTAGAAGCTAGACGTTGTGGGTGTAAGCACTCAGCTTCGTACCCTTATTTGATAGTTTTTTGTTTTTATTATGATTATCCATGACGGCTGACTAGATTGACATCGGCGTTTGGATTTTGACTGATAGATGGAATATCCCTAACACATTTGGGTGATATTACCACAGACATTATCTGTTATGAAAATAAGTTGACAACATGGACAATATATGCAGTATAGAGGTCACCTGACTGGATATTGCTTCACAGTCTGATATAGGTATCTTGGTACCCCGGGGGTTAATTTAATATGGGGCCGCTTTCTTCAATTAAGATAGCTTCTTTTATTTTGTGTTTATTCATGTTAGGTTCTTTGTTTAAAATTACAATGTTTTGTATGAATATACCGTGGTTTTTTGAGTTGAAATGGTAGTAAACGTGGGAGGTTTATTTTATTATGTTTAGTGAATCTGGTTTCCAATTTTCTACCTGTTTCTCCCACGTAAAATTCTGGACAGTTATTGCATGTTATTTTATAAATGATGTTGGAAGTTTTAATACATGTCTAGTTTGTCTTACCTCTCCCATCACGTGGCATGAGCTATTTTCGTCTAGAGACGCTGTAAACACTAAACAACCATGGCCCACTAACCAAAAAGAAGGTTAATCACTGCGCAAATCACTTCCCCTTCCTCCCCGTCCGACATTGTGACGTTACGCAGTGAAAAGTATCGGCTCGTGCCTTGCACAAGTTGAACAAGAGTACAAAGTGTCATGACAACAAACTCACTTTCAAACTAATAAAGTTTAGAGATGGTTTTAATGGGTAACAGAAAAAATGTTATTACAAGTTTAACATAGAAACAGATGGACAGTGTTTCGAAGAAGTTTTGTTATAGTGTCTCTTATCCGTATTGTGTTTTAGGTCTTATCTAGACCACGGACAGTCAGGTATGTTGTTTAGGTCTTATCTAGACCACGGACAGTCAGGTATGCTGTCGACCTCTTCCTCCGTCTTTTGCAGCGGTTGATGTACTATTACTGGAAAATACCGGTCTGTATTAGTATATGTGGGTCATGGCTTGTAGCCCGCACACGTGTACAACCTCTGACCCCTTTCAAGACCATGTATGTAATACACGAGTATTTATCGTGTAGTCATCACTATTTTGTTATTCGGTTTGCGATAGTCTTTCACACTGCGAACAGTTCCAATGATGAGCATTTGCCTTCACTGTTTTAACCAACTAAAATAAAACCAGGGTTTGTGCCCAGGGCTTGAATTGTGTAAAGTTATCAAATGGAACTCAGTTTCACCTCCCCTATGAGGCGGGGAGTCCGAGAACCGCCAGTCTCTTACTTCGAATATTTAATGATGTCACAATGTATGTTGACACAGAAACGTAACTCAAATGTAGAAGAATCGCATGTCGCAAAGTGGGTCTACAATGAAGTTGACCTGCATAAACGATATGAACTAGCAAGATTGTGATGAATTATTTTTAAATTTACGTATGTCCTTAGAAATTCTACAATAGAAACATTTCCATAAAAATTTCTAACAACAGAAGCGTTTTCACAACCATTTCTTACAACAGGAACAGCGCTCCGGTTCGCTGCTCCCTCAACTCAAGCCTTTTGGGGGAGTATAGGATTATAAGAGTGATAGTCAAATCCCACTATTCGGGGTCTTGTACTGGTTTACGCTACCTAGCAGAATACTTAGCTTACAGAGTTAGAGATCAAGATAGATTTAAGATAAAGTTTAAATCCACAATAACGAAACAATATTAGATTTATATTGATACAAATTTCGACACTTTCACGTGTTGTCTTCAGTCCAACGTTGGACAGCTACTATAAAGACAGATCTGTAGGTACTCCTATTGACTAAGAAGCAACGTTGTATGAAAAATGTTTCTCAAGATTGGATTAATCGCTTATCAAGAGGATAACTTCTACATATGATGGAAGTCACTTTGGAGGTTTCAACAAGGGAAATAATTCAAACCGCGATCCAGATTTTATAAAAAAAAACAAAAAAAACACTTACATGTAGTAAGAATATTTGTTCAAAAATTAATGCATGTTAAGATAAAAGAAATACATCGTAGAAGTACTAATAAAATGACAGAGATTATATATATATACAAACACACAAATATAAACTCAAACGAAAGGCCCGATAGTCAGAGATTTTTTTGGTTTTCGCAATAAAAGTCAAAATTAAATGAATATAATAGGTTAATGCAATCTCATATGAGAAGTTTAAAGGGCACAACTTTGCAGGGGTTCGGGGGGGGGGCAGCCACCCGACAGCATGAATCATTCAGAAATGTTTGAATCGACACTGTAGTCTACAGTTCGTTGAATTGACTCGGTGTCAAGATAATTTTACTGACTGGAAGCTTTGAACATGTTTAATGGGTCTGGCATATAACATTTGTTGTCCCAGCACTATGGAATAAGAATCTTGAATATCCATTATCTCATAAGAGCTAGAATCTATAATCCAATCCTGAAGCATTAATATGGGGGCTCTGTAGCTAACATTATACATGCGTACAACAAAATAACATTAGGGAATTGATGATAAACATTATCCACCCAATGATTAAGAAATTGCAACCTTTTAGATCATATCCTGGTGTGTTTTGTCTTAAAATTTTAAAACTTAACCCAACAATCAATTTAACTGTTACAAAAAAAAACAAAAACATGCATCTTCAGATTATCGGGCCTTCGGAGTAATGGACTGTCACCAAAGAAAGTCATGTCACTGTATTAAAACAATGCGTTTAGTTGCTGGAATCGTAAATGTTTCGTTTCGTTTGTTTGTTTGTTTGTTTGAAGTTAAGCACAAAGCTACAAAATGGGCTATCTATGCTATGCCCACCACGGTATCGAAACCCGTTGTAAGTCCCCGGACATACCGCTGTGGGTAACCGTAAATGTCTACTGATCATTTCAAGACAACAGTTGTAATTATTTTTGTTGTTTATTAGTTAAACAGTTACTAAGAATATTAAGTGTCATACCTCTAAGCATTTCTTAAATTCATAGTAGAAAATATTTTTTATGCTGAAGTTTTTACTTACTGAAAACCGTCTGATAAAATAGTACCACTGAGTATAACACAAGGTTTTTTTCATATACATTTCAATATATCATCGTATTACTGTGACAGAAATGCTATTTCTTTTTGAGCTAATTTACAAATTGATGTTATGCGCAGTTACGATGAGAGTATGCGGAAGTGAGACATTGTTTTCAATTATTCGACCATTTTAAACAATCATTTCTCACGGTGTTCTAAAATGTAATTTAATAATTTGTTTTTTTAACCATTTATCATCTCCTGGTAATTAGAAAAGAAATAGACAAAAATCAGGGGAGAAATTCATCGTTTACCTGTTGAACTATCCAAAATTCGTTGCTTTATTTCTGCAGTTGTATATCGTTTTAACCATTATATCATAAACATGAAAAAAATCAACTATGCTTTCCCTTGGTAAAGATGTTTCCCTCCATATCATCCCAGAAATATCAAAGCAGTGACTATCAGACTAGTTCCAAAGTTTATCCAAAATAAACTTTATGTATTGCATACTTTAATCTGTACACTACTTATGTGTATATCAAGATGAATAAGTCACTTACCTGAAAGCAGTAGTCCTAAAAACCTCAAGCAAGAGAGTTTAGTGCGCAACTAAAATGGCACTCACTGAAAACCTTGTGTTTCAAGAAGACGTCAGAACTGATATCCTCGTCCCCTAGTTATTATGTGGGACAGTGACCTTGATGGCATGCTTTTAGTGGTTTTCCCCGCGGCTGCTATACTATGAGCATTCTCACAACAAACAGATCTTGAGTTAATCGTTTTCACAAATTATGCGTTGTATTTTCCGACTTGTCAATTTTGTTGTATTTGTAACGACACCACTTCTCCAAGTTATGGAGACTACGATACATACCAATGCTAAAGTGTACTTGAAACACAGAACTTTTAGTTGAATAAATATGACGTCACAAAAATAATTTTATCGTGAAATCATAAACCTCTTTTAGTGGTTTTGAAACTACGTGGAAAAAACCATAACAGTTAAAAAATTACAAAAGAAAAACATCCACATAGAGAATGACATTGCTACCGCAATGAACGAACAACAACAAAAAAGACCAGAAATACAATAAAAATCTTCAACAGTTAAGATATTAAAAATAATGCAACATCAAATCTAATCTCTAAATTCCAACTTTGAACCACAGAAAGAATTGAATCCCTGCGTCTTGCCCCTCCATGATAGACGGACTACTGTGCAAAGGTACACAATGGGCTATCCGAGTTTTGTCCACGGCATGTATCGAACCTAGAATTATTAGTGCTATTGACTCTGAAGCTCATAGCTTGAACTTTCTAATAAAATACAAGGGGGGTGCAGCACATTTGTTGGTGGTGTTAGGAGAATGTAATGGTTTGGGTCAACGTTTTATGATAAACTTATTTTAAACATTTTAGTAAGTACTGTGGTTAATTTTTGTTTGTTTGAAGTTAAGCACAAAGCTATACAAAGGGCTATTTGTGCTCTGCCCACCACGGGGATCGAAACCATAATTAAAAACATACACTCGTTAACACTGGCTTTATATTATTAACATAATTTAACATAACCGAATTCGTGGTTTCTACATTACTTTGTGTTGAGTCTTTTGTTTTTATTATAAGTCTGAATCTAACATACAATATATGATATCACATATTACTGTTCATGATAGCGGCCAAAATAATTAGTTTTATGTGAAAACTTAATAATAAGGAAGAATGATTGATTATTTGATAAAACTTCACTACACGACTATCTTTCTAGATGTAATTTTTTAAAGAAAAGTTCAAATATCTGTGGTCTAAACATCTTATAATAATATTAAATTTAATTAATATGAAACAATTACGATACAAGTACATCACTATGGAAGACGCTGTACATCTTTTTTACTGTCATTTTAGCTTGTTATGTGGTTGTTATGGAGACCAGACTGGCTAGTTGCAATGTTTCTACCGTCAGGTATTAAAATTAAATTTGCTTCGATGAAGAGTAAACCAAACTTCAAGAATAATCCTTATAACTGCTGATTGCTTTAACATTGGTAACACCTGGAATTTTGTTGGGCATAACCATGAAAATGACGAAATACTCAAACTGGTTTTTAAACACGTGGATACATTATACCTTAGACTGGCAAAAACCCAATTACAGCATGTGTTTATTCCAAAACAACGACTCTTTCTCTCCTGGGATTTATTTTAAAAGTATGTATTCAAGGTGTCCATTATTTTATGTTATAAAAACATTTCCTGGTGGTCTTAGTACGTGATTAGTTGTTTCCAGTTTAATTTGAGCTCGTGTAATATTTTTAGGTCATTAATGCATAGGTTCAAACACTGTGTCCAAACGAAAATTACTTTCAGTTGTGTTTTATAACAGTTGTACCATCCCCAAGCCTTGACCTACTTCGGTCAAGGATTACAAGAAGGTCAATCACAAATACTAAGAGGATTACTAGTGTATTTGAAAACAAAAGAACAATTATAATAGCTGTGAGACAGAGAAAATGTGGTTAAAGATTCAGTCATCTTTTCCTGCGAGGTATAATCTGGTTTAAACCAACTATCGTTGTTTGATTGCTTCACTCATCACTAACTAGTCTAACCTGTCCTACCCTTTGTGCAATATCAATCCACTTCATATGGTCGCTAGATAATACGTTTTTCCTTAAATTCGGGGAGTTTAGGCCAGTAAATTTGTAACATTGTTTTTCATAAATAATGTAATTTTTCAGGTATCATTCAACTGATTTTTTAGTTTATCTCACCGATCATTTCAACTGTTTAATATTATAACATTAAAAATTTGTGGGAATAGCACACAAAATATATATTGAACTGTTAACGGGGTTAGAAACTTCAGAAATTACATATACAAGTACTGAGCCGACTTTATCTAAAATAAAAAAAATCGCAAGAAAAGTTATAACTAACATCGTTAACAGTGAGGGTAAGTAACCTAGCTTACCCAACTCATGAAACAATGCATTCCAATCTTTACAAGTAAGAGTATGGTATATTTAATTTGCTAAACTCATTAACAGAATGAGTTTTAAATTCTAGTTTTGCTCTAAGGTAGCTTGCTCTAATCTGAAATTGACATTAATCTAAATATTTCATCGCAAATTTTTCTAACGTTAACTTTTTAAATCCTAACGACAAGAATAATTAACTCACTTACTCAAACTAAGCTTGTTTCATTCTGTTATCAATTAAACACTTCATAACAAATATCCGCTGCACTTCCGAACGGAAGTCCGTGTGTACATAAAATAAGTGGTCTTGATATAATTATAAGAACTTATGAGTGAAAGTAAAGGAAATGTAAGATATCAACCTCACTATATCTACTATATCCAGGGTAGACAAGATCTTTCACCAATACCAGGGCTCACAAGGCCAGTTGGGGTGCAATTTCAGCTTGAGTTCGCACGATACGAAGAAAAAAAATAACGCAATAACACACACTTGATTAGCGAAAAAATGTCGAAGTTGTATTTTTGTTTCTATTCAGAACACTTGTGAGAATCCAGAAGGAGGGATTTTCCAACACATGAACTTTTAAAGCAATGATGTATTATTACTAATAACAACACAGATTAATTATGGTAATTTTAAATCATTCACGCTAAATCATCACTAAGAGGACACTTGCTCTATTATTACTAATAACAACACAGATTAATTATGGTAATTTTAAATCATTCACGCTAAATCATCACTAAGACACTTGGAAATTTTCCTTTTCTGAGAATATATAAAAACTATGAGAAATAAAAAAAAACTTTAT